AAACTTTGATATGTTTATTAATGTCACTGAAAATTTTATTCAGGATGAGATATCTTTACAGAGAGTCTACTTATTATGTAATCATTATAAAAATATGCATATAATCAAATAAATGATATACTACTAATATCAGTTAATTTCACAATTTTCTGATCATTAGCACCTAAAGCTTTCTCTCCACACGGAGTTCTGTTATGCATCTTTGCAAAGTGTGTGTTTCTTTCATGTTTAGAATAGTAGGCTTTATCACAAACAGAACATGGAAATCTCTTAATTCCACTGTGTCTGTCTAAGTGAGTCTTAAGGTGTTGCTTCGTGTAGAACCTGGCATTGCACTGTGGACAAGCGTGTGGTTTTGTACCTGAGTGGTGCATCATATGGCGAGTGAGCACCACTCTACGGTGAAATGCAGCACCACATTCACTGCATATGTGTTTTCTGTCCTGTTAAAGCAGAAGAAAAAAAAAACATATCAATAAATAAAATATGTACATAATTTCCCTTTACATGACATGCACAAATCACTTACAATTTAATCATCAGAATAAGAAAATGTTACCTGATCTTAAATCAACTACGTAAAGAACTTTAAGTTTACTGAGTAATCATAATGAGCTAAATACAACTTCTTCCATGGACAATAACTGGCTACTTACTTGGTGAGAGAGCATGTGCACTCGTAGGTTGTATTCATTCTTGAGAACACTGCCGCATGTATCACATATGTGCAACTGGGAACACTGAGTCTTTACGTGTTTGTTACGCTGGTGTCTTTTCTCAAACACCTCGTGACAATTAGGGCATGTGCGGTCCTTGAAAGAGCAAGACACGTTGATAGTCATTTAATTTCTTTGAAAGACAGAAGTGATTACTAACAGCACTGCAGTTTTCATATAGCTATTGGAGACAGTTCTTACAAAAATGGACACTCATGATTCTACCCATCAGAAATAGATTTATCTCTGTCAGTATTATTGACCAGCAAGAAGATACTTTTATTAACCTATCTAATAATAAGTTCTCAAGAGAGACAATGAAAAATCATGGAAAACAAAAAATATTTTAGAGATGCTTAAACATAAAATAGTATCATATATTCCACTACTTTATTCTGTAGTCTTAAAGATATTGAAGTACTGTAATCAGTTATAGGCTCCTAAGAACTTAATAGTAAGTAGGTTAAGGTTCCTAACATTTTGTCCTTGGGTTCAGCATAAAATTTTCACTCATATTAAATGGAGTGTGGAACTACTTACACTAATAAGCCACAGCTCGTAAAATACTAATCAGCGTAATAAAAATGTTATGATTCTATTTGAAAGGCTTGCAGCTGATCTAAGTTTCATATGATGAAAAAGTAACAAGGGAAAATGCATAAGTTTAAGCTGTAAACAACAACTAATTTTGCATATAAATGTTATATACTTGTCAAAATGGTTTAAGTTATTTTAGCTCATTTCATCAACTGTTGTTCGATGACCCACATTAATTTTAGACAAGGCAATTTTACTTTCAAACTACCTAAACCTACACCATTACAATTGACTTTATTTATCCTTTTGCTTTTAGACGATTTGACAGATGAAACATCAACAAAGGTTTAGCTTACAACACAAAAGTCCAAAAACAGTATATCATTAAAAATAAGCAAAAAGTGGGTAGGTAAAGACTTGGCATATGTTCTGTAAGTGAGGATGAGAATTATGCTGAAAATTACTCTGGATGAGTTGTGAACGTTAGACATTACAAGGTAGAATATCTCTTTCCCTAATCCTACAATGGATAAATGGAAATACATCTCTATTTAGTCTAAGTTGATCTGTTGGAAATGTTTTAAAAATAGAAGTTTTACTGTAATTACTAAAAAAAAAATAATGAGGCTACATGAAAACTGCATGTTACATACCATCATCTCTCGTAATGATGTTTTATTTCAGGTTTATTTGCTACTCAAGGTGTATCTGGACACTGAAAACTTTAAAACTATGCTCAACAAATGCCAGATAATCCATTTAAGTTACCCCAGGTAGCAGGTACCAAAGTCAAAGTTAAAACTACACTATGGCTTGGGGTAAACTGATGATGTAGTTCCTTTCTACTTACTTCTAAAGTAGGATGTAGAGAGGATCGATGCTTCTGTAGTTTATCTTGTGTTACATAAACAAGACTGCAGTCGGGGCATCGGAACATACAAGGTCCTTTGGTCAAGTGGTCGAAGAATTTGCCCAAACTGTCACTATCCTTTTCACAAGTAGGGCACCTGGAGTTTGAATATGAATTTATACAATCAGATTATGCTCTTCATTATTTATGGACTAATGCCAACAAATGTTGAAATAAACATAGTAATAATGGAAATTATTATTAAAAAAAGAAAAGAAAAAAAAATCATATGATACATAATTGCTAACAATATTTTGTGTCACTTTGAATTTCATTGTAATGTAATCAAATTGTAAGTCAAAACTATGGACTGATCACTCCAAAATAAATACATTCT